ATCCGTTTCAGGTTTGATTTTATCCTGCTCTTCCACCTGTGAGGACACCTGTGCTGATATACACTCTTCGACTGTGAGCACTCCTTTGCTGGTATACCAACTTCCTGCTCTTCTAACTGTAAGGACGCTTGTGCTGGTATACAAGCTTCTTGCTCTTCTGACTGTGAGAACCTTTGTACTGGTATACACGCTTCCTCTTCTTTTGACTGTGAGAATCCTTTTACTGGTTCACATGTTTCTTGATCTCCAACTCTTTTGACTGTGAGGACCTTTGTGCTGGTATACACGCTTCCACCTCGTCCGACTGTGAGGGCGCTTGTGCTAGTATTCAAGCTTCTTGCTCTTCTGACTGGGAGGACCCTTTTACTGGTTCACACGCTTCCTCCTCATCCAACTGTGAGGACACCTGCGCTGACATACGCACGTCCAGCTCTTTCGCTGCTGATAAACTTCCCCCCCAGAACATTCTGGCAACTACGAATTCGCTGTCTAGTTGCTTCTTGCAATTTATCGTCGATTAGATTTTGTTCTTTCAGTGTTCGTCACAATATTGTTATTAACAAAGCAAAGTATTTTCGTAACTTTGTATTTATTTGACGAATGTATTTAATAATTTAATCAACAAGACAAAAATTCAAACTTCGCTATTGTTTGTTTTGAACTTCAACTGTCAAAATTTTACTTTCCATTTGGCACATCAAAATGTAAAATTTATTTACATCATAGTAAATTTTTTCACTTCAACTTTCTCTTCTTTGGCTTTCAGCCAAGATTCCTTCAATGGGTATCTTCCTATCTTTATAATAGAACACAACGAGTGATATTTGAGGATACACCTTCAGATACAATTAATGTTTCTTCTGGTGTTCCGCAAGGTAGTCATCTTGGCCCGATTCTGTTCTTGTTGTTTATTAACGATATCTCTTCAGTAATAAAATTCTCAAAAATTTTATTATACGCTGACGATGTAAAGCTTTTTAAATCATACACTTCAACTGAGGAAAGGTGTCTGTTGCAAACAGACTTAAACAATTTGGTTGCATGGTGTGATAGAAATGATTTGCCATTGAATCTCAATAAATGTAAGACGATGTGCTTTTCCCGTAGATCTGTGCACCCCTCTTCTTACGTAATAAAACACCATATTCTAGAGCAAGTTTTAAACTATGTTGATTTGGGAGTTAATATGGACCCTAAGCTTAATTTCAGTCTTCATATTGATACCATGGTCTTGAAAGCAAAAGCTGTCCTCAGTTTTGTTAAACGTTGGTCTAAAGAATTTAGAAATCCGTATATTACTAAAACACTTTATACAACTTTGGTTAGACCTATATTGGAATATGGCTCTGTGGTATGGAACCCTAGCTACCAAATCCATTCTGACAAGTTAGAGTCGGTTCAAAAACAATTTTTACTTTTCGCCTTAGCGCATTTCCGATGGGATGCTAGGGTAAGTCTACCTCCATACACAAGTCGTTTAAAACTTATTAATCTACCTACACTTTCTAGTCGTAGGGAAATGCTTGGCATAATATTCTTAGTGAAACTTTTGAATGGAACTGTTTGCAGTTCTTTTCTCCTGTCTGAAATTAAATTTAATATCCCGGTTCGCCTTTCGAGGCAGTTTAGACCTTTACTGCTAAAATCCTGTAGATCAAATTTTGAACTAAACGAGCCATTCCGCCGTATATGTCATGATTTTAATTCTCATTCCAGCACATTTGACTTATCTGACTCACTTTTCAAAATTAAAAAGACTTTATTGTTTTCTCTTAATAAATGAAAATGTAACAATTTATTATATTGTAACTTTAGATCTTAGCTGTTGAAATTTTTGTTTCTGTAGCTGAGCAGTTTTAGATCTCAACACTTAAAAAACTCTCTTGCCTTTTCTGACTCGGCTAATTCCGCACGTATGCGGATTGCGCCCCTCGCGTCGGTTGGGCGGGAGGAGGGTAATCGTTGGGTTTATTAACTCAACATAGTGAAAAATGTTACCGTTTGGCACACAGCCTCAATTGACAAAACTCTTCTTTCTATTTGTCACAGCAAAATGTAAAATTTGTTTACTCCATAATAAAATTTTTCATCCCATTTTAACACCTTAGATGATTTCATCATATTAATAATGACAGTCTGTGTATACCTTAAGCATTTGCAACGCTGTAAGTCATTTGCTAGTAAAAAAAATATTGTCAACAACAATTATGGCGTGTATTCGGGTGGTGGACGCTTTACAATATCAAATAAGTTTTTTTTTAAATATGAAAAACAGAAATTGAAGCTTTTTGTACGATTTCATTTCATTAATAAATTCAGGCGTTCTTACATTTTATAGGAAAGTCAATTTATGTATAAAACTAAAATAATGGAAAAAAATATTTAAAATAAAAGATGTTATATCTATGTTCATTGTGTTTATGAATGAAAAGATACGGTCCTACAAAATTAACACTCCCTGCAAGCGATTGGAACCAAATTTAAATTATAAAAGTTCAAACAAGAGGTAAATACCTAAGGATGTTAGATAAATATGAAGAATCATAAATATATTACTTAGATATTTTAAACTCATATTGTTTTAATTAACATATTCATCATATTCGGATATACTTTCAGCCTTAAAACAGCAACTTTATATGTTGGAAAATAAGATCATATGACAAAATGACAGTTCAGTTAAATTCCTTCAATATCGCAAATATCAATCTTCCTCTCACAATAACACCTATAATACCCGCTTTGAAAGATCTTACTGTTTCGGCTGCATCGAAATCTGATATGAATTCTGTGCAACCGGATTTAACATTTCATTGTATGTGCTGCCCGGCATACTTTGTAAATCCTTATATGTTATATCAACACATGAACAGTCAACATCCACAACCATTAGAAAGCGACGAAGGGGGTAAAACGGCATCTGATGATGATGATCAAGATTATAGCTGGGTACTTGAGCCAGTTTGCGAAATAGTTGATATGGAAGGCGATGATGGAGATGATGATTCGGATAGCGATTCGGATTCGGACGAAGATTCGTCCACCAGTTCTTCTCAAACCTCAAGCAGTAGCTCAACTACTGTTAGTGCCTCTAATTCCAATTCGGTAACTAGAGATACGAGTTTGAACGACTCTCAAGGTCATGATGACGATTACACACGCATGACTTCAGTAAGTACCAACACAGTGCCACCAGCTATTTATGAAGAGATTGTTGGGAATGAGTCCACAAATTCTTTCTGTACAACTAGTGAGTCTGCGTATCCAATGATTAAATTAAGAACTGCGGATCCTCGTGAATCTACTTCGATCATATTACTTAAGCCATTGCTGGAAAATATTAGCGAGGATTGCTCAAATAGTATGACTGTAATACCCTTTATCCCTAAGCCAGGAAGAGGAAGACGCAGCGCAGCACAAAATGCACAACTTGCTGCTTTAACAAATGGAGACAAAAAATGTTTTCAATGTGCACATTGCGAAGTCTCATTTCAAAACGCCGGTGACCTTTCGAAACATGTGCGATGCCATATTACAAACAAACCATTTCAATGTGGAATCTGTGAAAAGACCTTTACACACATCGGCAGTTTGAATACTCATATTAGAATTCATAGTGGCGAGAAACCGTATAAGTGCGAATTATGTCCAAAGGTAAATTAAGGAAGAAAACAAATTTTTTCGAATAATTATTAATAAATACGTTTTTTTTTCTTCTACAGGCTTTTACACAATCAAGCAGCCTAATGGTGCACGTTCGATCTCATTCTATACGAAAGCCACATCAGTGTTATTTATGCGATAAAGGTATTCATATTTTTTATGACATCTCCTATACTACAGATTTTTATTCTCTAAATTATCTTTATAGGTTTCATAAACTCAAGCTCGCTCGTATTACACCTCAAATCACATGATGACACTGAAATTTTCAATTGTCCTGAATGTGACAAATCTTTTAAACAAGAAGACTTACTCGAGAAACATCTCCAAATGCACACACAACAACTTGTATATCAGTGTTCCATTTGTCATACAGCTTTTCGAACATCATCGGAGTTAGTGCAGCATATGAAATGTCACATGGGTGAAAAACCTTTTACATGCTCTATTTGTGATCGTTCTTTCACGCAATCAGGCAGCCTTGGAATACATATGCGTATTCACACTGGGGAACGTCCATTTCAATGCAAACTCTGTGACAAAGCATTCACGCAAGCATCTAGCCTCAGTGTTCATATGAAAATTCATTCTGGCGAAAAGTCATACCCTTGCCATATTTGCGGTAAGTCCTATAGTCAGCAAGCCTATCTAAACAAACACATACAGGCTCATCTTACAGCAGGAGAAAACACAATAGCCATGAATGTGGCGAATGCTGTTCAATTATCAGATGGTATTGTGCCTTCAGAAGAAACGCTAGTTTGTATTGTTTGCGGAGTATTGCATAAAGACGTAAGTTCATTAGCATTACATGTTACACAGAAGCATGCCGTGTTGCTAAAGGATACTGGACACAGTAATACAAAACAAATGCAAATGTCTTCTGATTATTTGGGTGAAGAGGAACGTCGTTTACAAGAGCAACAATATATACAACAATTACAATTAATTATGCGCACTGGCGGTGTATTGCCGCAAATTGCTATGGATGTCGATACTAGGAAGAACGATGGGGAATTAGTAAGACCTGGTAACTTTGAACGTATGGGAGATAATGAGAATAATGGAAATGGGAACTTGGAAACGGTAAAACAAGATTTCGACCAGAATTCTTTTGATGATTACGGTGCTGAAGAAGAAGTTGAAACAGAGGAATGAAGGGCATTATTTTATATGCATAACTCAAAATCTCGTCAGTAATACAATAGAGAAAGAACAAAGTTTAGTCCATGATTACTGCATTATATAATTTGCGTATAATGTTAGTGTTATGTTTTCAGTATAAACATCTTTATATATTAGATATATGACCCCCATTGACATTTTTACCCTGTGGCTTTTCAGTATTGCTTATGTTTTATTGTGAATATTAAATTGTAAACTTAGCATGGTTCGAAAAAATAAAATTGTTAAGTATATACGGAATTTATTAAATTCTTGAATATGTTAACACAAAACTATACTTCTTCGATTTTAACAACTAATTGTAGAATGGATTGTATGTGACCCAATGAGCTCGCGATTGTTCCTTTTCGCTTTTATGTGTAGTAAACAGAGATTTATATACATCGCTGGCCTTTGGATCTTTTGCAACACTATAGTTATTCCTTAAACGTTTCAATTCGGGATCTTCTAATACATTTTCAGACACAACCGAACGCTTTAGGTTTGAAATCAGCTTATTTGGCCCAATCGTTGAAGATTGGCTTGTGGAGGGAGTATTGTCGTTTTGATCTTCTGTTTTTTTGCATTTCTCTCCTTTTTCAAAATCTTGTTTTTTTTCTTCGGTAAAAGTTTTCTGAATAGATAATTTACCAACATTTCTTACTCCATCCTGGCCCTTTTTATCTTTTTTGCTGGATTTTCTTTTTATATTACGTATTTCCATTTTTGCTTGCATTAATTCCAAATCTTCTTCGGACCCATTCAGAACAACCACATCTTCAACACTGAAAGGTTCCAAACAGAGAGGGCATGTACTGCCTCCACTGTCATTTCGTTTAATTTGTTTAAGAGCACGCTCCGATATTACACATCCACAAGACCATAAAGCTACAAATCGAAATTTTCCTGACATTTCAAGGCCTATCAACTTGCATATGTAAGGAGCATGGCGAGTATCTAATAAACCTTCTGTTTTATCTTCTGTTGTGTATGACGGGTTCGATGTTAGCTTAAGTGTTTTGATATCTTTCAAGGTACGAATATGTTTAATAGATTCGGGCTTCTTTTCTTTTTCTAGCAATTGCTCAATGATGCTTTGTTTAGAATACAAGCGTCCAAACCCGCACATTACAATTGGCTCCTGTAGATGTTCTTGAGTAAGTGCGCAATGTAGCCAGCGAAATTCGCGTTCAGCATCTTTATCTTTCTGAAAAGACGAATATTGATAGATTCAAACAAAATTCCAAATTCAGCTTACCTGCTCTGGTTTTTTGGCAGTGCGTACAAGTTCATCTCGTCGCGGTATAGTTCCACCATCACATCCCATATTTGCTTCTTACAATCTTAATTTTATTCAGTGAGTTAGTTACAATTTACTAGGGATGACTCTTCCTTTTCAACAGCCTATATTTCCGTCAGAGATAAATTATTAATTATCCCTGCCCACCTCGTTTCTCACTGGAAATGAGAGAGCAAATTCTAAACGTCAAAACCTTCTAAACTCAAGCAACCATTGTATAAGCTTTATTAGATTTATACAATGCAAGCAACTGTCAAAGTTCAGCAGGTCTGCCGTTTGCAATTGGAAAAAGAGGGACGGCCAGATTGAAATCCTACAGAAATATATGTAAACAGAAAAATGTGTGCTGATGTTGAAGATCACTAACAAAAATTTAAAAACAATGAAAATGAAAGAAAACCCGAAATTGAAATGTATGTGATGATATCTTTTGTGATGCCATGCTTATTAGTATTGATTTTCAATTGAACATTTTTAAAAACATTTATTAATTGAGAGCTAATACATTTATTACTTTGATTACATATTGAAAGTTCAAAAATCAATTGTTTAATATATTACAAAATCACAAAAAAATAATATAAAAAGTTTCTGCATATGTTTAACGGATACAAGTATAATAATATTTAATCTTAGTAAATGATGGGTATTTTAATTTAAATTTATATTTAATTAATTTTTAAAAATTATTATTTTCTCCGATCTGGCTACAATGGAAAATGTTAGAAAAAATGCTAATTTTGAGGCGCTCTCACACTGGTAAGAGTTGGGCATCCCATTATCCCTGGTATAAATCAACAAGTAACCAATCCTTGTTTGGATTGTCAATAATACACACGCAAATTCTACTACTAAAGTCACACTTGGTAGGGGTTGCCTACTTATATTCTACTATAAAAGTCACACTTGGTACGGGCTGCTAACTAATATTCTAGTACTAAAACGTACAATTGACTCAAATCTGCTTAAGTGTGTTGCAGTGTTATGTTTTAAAATTTATAAATTTAAGAATGTTTTTATTAAATATTATTCATTAATTGGTACATTGTTTTGCGTACTATTATTGTTGTCCCTGAATTGTACCTAATTTTTACCATGGACACAGTTTTAATCAGAGTGCTGCCTTGTAAAGAGAAATTAATACATAAGTAAGAAATTGTGAATTCGGGTAATAAGTAGTAAAGTATTAAGTTGTTTGGACTAGAAATAAAGATAAGTGAATAGCCATTAAATTGGGACTTCTATATAACAATCCAGTGATCGAACTCAAGAATGAGTTATAGGTAGACGATTTATCGAGAAATCCGTTACAATTGGCGTCAGAAGTGGGATTGTCAAATAAATTTCCAAAGAGATATTTATTGACCTGAAGATTCCACAATTAAAAAACAAGCTGGAGCAATGTGTTTGGCGACAAATGGGTTAAAAACTGAATCACTGTTGGGAGAGGCCAGGGAGGCGGAAAACATTAATATTGAGGAATATGTCTTTCAATTGGAATTAGAAAAAGAAACAACGAAGATAGAAGAAAGGAAGAGACTTGCTCATCAAAAGCTATGGACACAAACATGCTTTTGGCTGCAATGTCGAAGATGTCAGCGTAATTATTCCATATGTCAACGCAAATGTCGCACATGTCAACGCAAACTTTAACACAAATGTCAACGCAAATATCGACACAGTTTGAAGAGCAGGATGCTCGTATGACTTTATGAATGTCGCAGTTAGAAATGCGGTTGTCGACGCAGTTCACAGCTCAACATGCATGTATATCAGCACAGTTGTCAGCGGTGAAAGAGCTGGACGTGCGTATATTAGCGCAGGTGCCCTCACAGTTGGAAGAGCAAGGAGCTTGTACACCAGCACAAGTGTCACAGTCGGAAGAGCAGGAAGCGTATATACCAGTACAAGGGTCCTTAAAGTCGAGAGAGCAAGACGTTCGCATGTCCTCACAGTCAGAAGATCAGCAAACGAGTAAAGCAGTAAAAATATCCTCACAGTCAGAAGAGCACGAAGCGTGTATACCAGCACAGGTATCCTTACAGATGATTAAATTGCGGAAAATTCAATTTGCCTATTAGATAAGAAAGTATTCGACTTTATTAACTCAAATAAAGACATTTCGATTCGATGTCAAAGTCTTCTTGCACACGCCAATGATTTTACCCATCGACTCTTCGAAAATACAAATATTTTGATGTTATCAGAAAGCTTTATGAGCAATGAAGAACCTACGGTACAAGTACCAAGTTTTGAATTTGTTGCGATATTTAAATGCAATGAAATTCGGAATTCAGGTGTTGCCATCTAGTTATCGTAATAAACAGGACAGATATTACGTTGTTACTATTCAGTTGCAAATAAAAGCTCCTTACTCAAGCTCCTTAGCAAGAATTTGGGTTCACAAGCTCCGGGCGATGTTATTGGAGAACGCGTAGAATATTGTGAACAGTCGGTAGTTCTTGCGGATGATTTTAATATCAGTTTTTCATTGTTAGAAGATGCGCCATAACTACAATACAATCCAACGACAAAAGAGGGGACCACTATTTATGCAGTTTTCGGCAGAAAAATTATTTTTTATTATTTTATCTATCCTAATCCACTTGCAAATATTAAAAAATATGAATACAGTGACCGCTGAAAGTGAGAATTAAATTTAAAAAAATTGTTTTTGAAAAAAAAAAATTATATATGCCAAAAATATTGTGTGATAATAACATTGATTTCAATCCTTTCATGTTTCCAATTAGCCATCATGACACACTGTTTGTTTTTATTTATATAACCTATATTAATTAAATATTTAGGTAATAATACAAACTTCATTTAATTATCTACAATATAAAACAATATTGTATATAAAACAAAGTCGGGTTTGTTACAACACTTATAACTCGAGATCGGCTAGACCAATTTTCATGGATTTTGGTTCGTTGGACTTGTCCCCGCCCCGAATAGCAGAATACATCTTAAAAATAATGAAAACTCGATGAATCATTTTCCCTAAATGTTACTTTGTTTCGTACTTGTAATCTGAAATGGATGGAAATTATTCAACTGCTACTTCCCGGACAAACATCAAGTGATCGACACGGCATTACCGCACGTGTTTTCAAGCAAAAATCCAGTCACTGATGAATTACATTGTTAAACAACACGTCTTTGGGATTACCCAATGCTGGATGTATTCAATTGAATGGCAAAAACGAGGTTTGCCGCATGCACACATTCTAATTTGGTTAGTCGATATAATTCGGCGAGATCAAATAGATGACATCATATGTGCGGAGATTCCTGATCCTGAAACCCACCCAGACCTACATGATGCTGTAATCAAGAATATGATTATTTCGCCGTGTGGCACCATCAACCGCCAATCACCGTGCAGTCTATCGCCCGATGATGATGGTAAAACTATCATCGACAACAGTTGGGTTGTTCCATATTCGCCACTTTTTTCCAAAACATTCAAGGCACGTTGTAATGTTAAGTATTGCAATTAGGTCAAGTCAATTAAATACATTTGCAAATATGTCACGAAAGGCAGCGACATGGTGGTTTTTGGTATCCAATCATCCAATACCAACGATGAAATTACGCGCTATCAAGTCGGTAGATATGTGAACTGCAATGAAGCAATTTGGCGTATATTCTCATTCCCTATTCACGAACGTCATCTCACTGTTGTACATATGGGGGTGCATCTAGAGAACGGTCAGAGAGTTTAGTTCACAACGTCGAATGCTGCTCAACGTGCTGCAACACCTCCAGCGACAACACTGACCAGTTTCTTTGCGATTTGTCAAAGCGATCCGTTCGCACGAACGTTGCTGTACTCAGAGATGCCACGTTTTTACACATGGAACGCTACATAGAAGTAATTTCAACGTCGGAAGCAAGGCCATGCAGTTCCTGGTCATCTAGATATGCGTTCTACTGATGCTCTTGGTCGTATTCACACAGTTCATCCGAAGAATGATGAATGTTTCTATTTGCGGTTGTTGTGGGTACATGTTCGAGTCCCAACATCATTTGAATCACTACGAACTGTTATTGGTATAGAGTGCCCCACATTTCCTGCAGCATGTCAAGAGCTCAATTTGCTTGGAAACGATGCTCATTGGGATACAACAATCGCTGAAGCAATTGTTTATGCATCTCCAAATCAGATACGCACATTATTTGCTATCATCATTTCGATATGCTTTCCATCGAACCCACGTGACCTGTGCAACAAATTCAAAGATAACATGTGAGAAGACATTTTACATCGAATTCGTGTCAGCACAAGAAACCACGATATTGAGGCGAATGTGGAGATGCATAACCAGGCGCTAACTCTTGATCGAAGATATGTGTTACTTCATTTGCGGCAGTTTGTTAGTCAGGTTAAGAATGCCAGCGCCCGGTCGCGGAATGAGAGACGCACTTAATGTAGAATTGGGACGTGAACGTGAATATGATCCACATGAATTAGTACAATCAGTTCGAACGAATGTACCTGGCTTATTTTTTCTGGATGTCCCTGGCGGAACTGGAAAGACATTCCTTATGTCATTGATTTTGGCCACTGTACGTGCGAGATCAGAAATTGCGGTTGCAGTTGCTTCTTCTGGAATTGCGGCCACATTGTTAGACGGATGCAGTATGACTCACTCAGCGTTAAAATTGCCATTAAACCTTCAAACTACTGAAAAACCGACATGTAACATTTCGAAACAATCCGCAATAGCCAAAGTTTTAGTAACATCAAAATTCATAATATGGGACAAATGCGCAATGGCGCACAAACGCGCATTGGAGGCTCTTGACCGAATACAAGATCTACGCAATGACTCGAGATGTTTTGGTGGTTCAATGATTTTACTATCTGGCGATTTCCGACAAACACTACCACTCAATCCAAGATCTACTGCTGCCGACGAAATCATCGCTTGCCTCAAAGCATCAAATCTGTGGCGATATGCAAAGAAACTTCAACAGTCAGTAAATATGAGAGTTGCATTGTTGAACGATCTATCTGTTGATGATTTCTCTAAGCAATTGCTAACTATCGGTAATGGACGTGTTCCTGTTGACGAATCGAGCGGATTGATTTCGTTTCCTTCAAATTTTTGCAATTTCGTCTCATCGAAAGACGAGCTTATCAACAAAGTATTCCCGGATATCATTGCTAACCACAAAAATACTAAATGGTTAAGTAAGCTAGCAATTTTGGCGGCTAAGAATAAAGATGTAGCTGACCTAAATATTATAATTCAGAATCAAATCGTAGGTACTTTGTATTCTTTCAAATCTATCGACTGTGTAACGAACGAAGATGAAGCCACTAATTATCCAACTGAATTTTTAAACTCCTTGGATGTGCCTGGTTTACCACCGCACAATTTGCAACTGAGGGTTGGCTGGATAGTCATCATGATTAGAAATTTAAACCAACCAAAACTGTGCATTGAACTATTT